ATATATATTTATATATATACACACAAATGTATGTACTCAATTGTTTATTGGCTGATGCCTGATCAAAATGTCCAAATATTAATTTTCCTGGCTGATATATTCCCTAGTGTCATTTAAATTAAATTACATTTATTTCATGCTAAATATACTACAAATACATTAACATATTTATGTGCTTAATAAAAATACCCTACAATTGTACTTCTGGCATACTAAACTGGTATACTTGAAGTCTGCAAAATTGGAACAACTAATTTTGTACTTAATGCATTTTAATTGTGCGGAAGTAGTGCTAAAGCCCAACTAAAGATATGCTGAAGTATATTTGATTGTGCTAAAGTGGAACTATTGAAAGTATACTTCAGGTACACTTTAAATATCTTGCATTTAAAGAACGATATTATTCAAAGATCATACAATCCTCATCAATAATGACATTAACACACATTTTAGGCTTAATATAAAAAAATGTGCATTGTGCACAAGTTCAGTAAAGTTTAATAGTACTTTTTATATCAGTAAGTCTCAAGCGATATGTCAGCAAATATATTAATAGATTTGAACTATATTTACTATGAAATAAATGTATTTTACTTTTTTACTAGGGTTGTTTTGTCACTAGACTTTCACTAGAAAAAGAAGGCAAAGTGTTGAAGGCAAAGAATGAGCGATGTGCTGTACTTTTTAATATTCTTTTGGCAGAGAATCCATAAGGACCTGGTTATAGCTATGAAAAACATCGCAACACAGAGTCATGTTAGATCAAGCTGCACTTATGTGGCATTAACAGGTTTGACAGAGTGGCTGCATGGGCTGCTGCTGAAAATGTCTGGCACCTGCCATTGGCCCTGATCCAGGATTCGGCAGCTGGCGATGTCCACCACGTGCCATGCCCATCTCAGAGCAGCTCCCTGCAGAACGCCTTCTGACGTGAGCTGGCATAGTGCTTCTTACATACAGCCGACATGAAAGTCTTAACCTTGGCCTTCTACCAGGTCCCTTTGCCCATGCATGTACACAGTGACCGATGAACGATTTAATAGAGAAAAAGAGCAATGGCAACTCTCTACACAGCCTGCTCTATCCAAAGCAGGCCTCCCGACAGCCTCAGCAGCCGGATTGCAGGTGCTTCCTTCAGACTGTGCAGTTAACGCTTCCTAATCCACACAGGGGTGATGCAAATCAAACAGCTCAAATGTTGCCCAGTTCCAGGGGATTCAAAGACTCCAGCCTGAAGCCAAGCAGCACGGCTCTATCTACAGGGGAGCATCTGTCAGGCAGCTTTCCTGTCCCCTTGAACACCCGCCACCCACATCAAAACCCCCCATACCCATCCCACACACAGTGACCCCATTCCTAAATATGGGCCATGCAGTTTGCCCCAACAAACCTTGTAAAACTGCAAAAATTAATTTCCTTAATCAGTATTTTTCTCTTGTTTTCCAGTCTTTTCACCAAAACATCCTTAATGTAAAGCCATTTTGTGTAATATAAGAGTTATTCAGAGAATATTGAGGGAACTGTATATATTTTTTCTTTTGTATTGTTTTTACCCATACAATTTTTTTTTCATTGCTTCACTCAATTTTGTTACAAGCACAATTAAAATAAATTTTTAAATACATTTTCTGACTAAATTTAATAAAACATTAAAAATAAATAATTAAAAACACATTAAAATTCAAAAACCCTTCCTTGACATTTGTTACACATACAATAAAATTTAAAAAGTACATTCAAATGAAATTCTCAGACAAAATTCTGTTGAAATGGACAAAAATACAGTAAAAATACAAAATGTATTCTTTGAAAACATTTTTTGGTATTTTTATCTAAAACTATATTATGCATTTTTGTTTGTCAAGTAGCATATTTATCTTGGTCTACTCATGTTTATAATATTTTACTGGAAAAAAAAAGACAATAATAATGATTAAGCCTTTTTTTAGTTAAAGAAATTATGAAGACTGAAGTAGAGGTTCATGACTTTCTTTCTTAATGACTTTCTTAATTGTGACCCTGGACCACAAAACCAGTCATAAAGGTCATTTTTTAAAACAGAGATTTATGCATCATCTAAAAGCTTTCAACTGAGGTATGGTTTGTTAGGATAGGGCAATATTTGGCCGAGATACAACTATTTGAAAATCTGGAATCTGAGGGTGCAAAAAAATTTAAATATTGAGAAAAACGCCTTTAAAGTTGTCCAAATGAAGTCCTTAGCAATGCATATTGCTAATCAGAAATTAAGTTTTGATATATTTATTTACAAAATATCTTCATGGAACGTGATCTTTACTTAATATCCTAATGATGTTTAGCATAAAAGAAAAATCGATAATTTTGACCCATACAATGTATTGTTGGCTATTGCTACAAATATACCCGTGCTACTTATGACTGGTTTTGTGCTCAAGGGTCATAATTTATCATTCACACTTTCTTAGATGTCTGTATGCATTAGTGCAAAAAACAGATAACAAATCTGATTTCAAGAGGCTAATCTCACCTTTGCACTGGCCTAAATGCTCCACAGTGATCTCTTTATCTTGTCTGCATGCGATGGTCCTCAGCTGGCATCGGTCTGCATAGGTGACCCCATCAGAACCACATACCTGTCCACAAACATGTCCATGTCTATTATTAGAGAAGAAATCTTCATCACTAGAGTAGGTGTAGAGTGTGGATCGGTGACTTATGCAAGCTCACCTTGGTCTTGTTTTTCTCATCACAATCTGGCGACGGGCACTCACAGTGAGCCTGTCCGTTCACCTCCACACATGATGCCCCAAAGTGGCACATAAGCTCATCACAGGACTTGGGTGCCTCAGGTCCTGTGGAACAGATTGGCCTCTGGTTAATTCATAACTGATAATTGAACTTTTAAGGGTTTCTGAAAGCTAACACACATGGACAAACATGTGGGAAACCAGCATCACAAAACACAATATATGCAATATATTTCAGTGTGGGCTACTTGTTAATCCACATATATTCATCAGAAAGATGGACTTGCATCAGTAGGCAGAGCCTAGACCTTGCCTGCCACAGAAGTCTACTCTTTACTCTGACATCAGAGCGCTGGGCTGCACTGCCTGGCCTGCAGCATCGACTGGCTTCCTCTTCTGTACTTTCATGTGGCAGCTTTTATCTGGCAGAAACACTGCATGAACACTTCTATGCTGGGACTGTTGAGTTCATTAAGCTCTTCACTTCCTGTCAATAGCTGACGGTGACTTCATTCTACTCACCAAGTCAACACAGGGGGTGACATCAGGATAGCATTTCACTGTCACCCCTGGTGTGCATTTGAAGATTCAACTTTGAACTCCACTGATACAATATTTAGTATAAAGTAGCTAATTATTTGGAATTTAATTTTTTTTTTTAATGGGCTTTCTACTTTTAATGTATATAATATTATACTGTAGTCTAAGCCTTTTAAGATAATTATCATAATTCATCATTAAAATGAAATCAATTATTCAAATAAAATAATAATTTATTGATAGATACTAAATAAAATATCTTATTAGATACTAATATATTTAAATAAGATATATATCTTAATATCTAAAATATAACACATAATGAAAATTGTAAATTATCATAAATGATAAATGGTCAATATCATATTTTATACAATTTTGATTGAATTATATTATTATTATATTCTATAATACTTTGAGTAAATAAAAAAAATATAAAAAACTAAAATAAATTGTTTAAATGCTACAAGTGATAATGTATAAAAATGGATATTTATTTTCAGGCTTACAAAATATTACATTTAACAGTGTTATTAAATGATAGTGTTTGTTTTTAAGTATTAAAAACATAAAAAACTGGGCATATAATCATCAAAAACTGGTCACTCTACAGTATCAACAGAATATAAATAATATTATTAATAACTGGTAGATATATTGTTAATCGATACCCCAAACCATCTCAAACATACTGCCGGATTCAAACCCACATCTTAAGTGAAGTGACATGTGGCCAAGTATGGTGACCCATACTCAGCATTTATCCCATCCAAAGTGCACACACACAGCAATGCAGCCATTTTTTTCCTGCGGCACCCGGGTTCGGTGCCTTGCTCAAGGGCACCTCAGTCATGGTATTGAAGGTACCCCTTCACTCCCCCCACCTACAATCCCTGCCGGTACGAGACTCGAACCCTCTAACCATTAGGCCACGACTTCCCCATCACTTTCTGAGATCTTACCACTATGCCATGGTTCTGACATGACACTAAAAGCCTTATTTGTCAGAACACTTTTAATTAACAAAGACTATTAATTAACCAGTGCAATCATTTTTATTATTTCTACACATAACCCAACATTGCGAAAAACAGACCTAATTATAATTCATAAAGTCACAACCTAGCTGCATCAGAACTGCAATCCTGGAGAGATCGTCTGAGTTTTGTGCTAATTAAAATCCCAGCATTACCTTTGTCACAGCCGTTGGCTCCCATCTTGCTGCCGTCGGGGCACACGTTGCATTTCATGCCCTTAACTCCAGGCTTACATGAGCACAGCCCTGACATCTGCTCACAGTCGTCACGAACCGAACCCACTCCATCACAGTTACACGCTGATGAAGAGAGGGAGAGAGAGAGGGCTGTCAGCCTTATCTGCTTGAACAGTTTTGATTAGATTCCTTGTCTCTTTCTCTTCCATTTCACTCTGACAAAAACATCCACACATCCACCAAATGCATGCAGGCAATCTGAAGCTGCTCCAATCTGTGACCCCACAGCTACAGCAACAGCGCTCGCTCTGTGTCAGTGACTGCAGCCTGGTGGAGTTCAAAGCAGGGTCAAGAAGCCCTGGGGTGAGAGCGAACGTGGCTACAGAATGTGCTAATGCTCTAAGGACCCCTGGGACAGAGCACAAACTGTTTCAATCACGCTTATTTTTCTATCCTTGGCTTTGTAGCAGCATACAAACACACAAATACATGCGACAGAGCTTTATTGGTCTGTAGGCAGAACTTATAGGTCAAGCCACGTTGCACTCTCGTGCAGTTCCCATTACCCGCGGTGGCTCAGAGGCTTACCTTGAAACGCTTGTTTTGACAGAAATCGCATTTGAGGCCGGAAGGATAGCGCACGTTAAACGAGTAGGTTGTCACTTCGGATTTCGGATTAGAAAGGAACATTTAACACATTTAACAGAAAATGCCCCGAAAGCAAATCACCAGGAAAGAGAGAAGAGAGGAACGCTTACGTGTGCAGCCACTCATGTTCTCTGTAACGATGCCTCGGAAGTTCCAGAATCCGGGCTCACAGCGGTCACACTTGAGTCCCCCGACGCCGGGTTTACAGGAGCACTGGCCGGTGGACGGGTCGCAGGTGCCTCCGTATGAGCCGTAATGATTACACTGACACACACCTAAATAAGAAACGGACACAGTCTATAAGTTAATAGCATGTCACTCCATGTCCCAACCAGGTGGGATGAGGCAAGAAATCTTGAGCTACACAATTGCAATTAGTCGGAACATATTTTACGTTCAATACACAGTTAAGTGATATTTGGACTGTTGTAAGGGTTGCAAACCGCAACGGCACATTGCCCATTTATCTATAATTGGCCATAATAAGAAAATAAGCATTTGGAATTGGCCAGAATTTTAAAACTGGTTCATCCCAACTTGAAAAAGTAAAAGTTCATCCACTCACATTTTGAATAATTAAACATAATTACTTTTGAATATTTATTATTATGAATTGCTTTGCTTATAGTTCAAGATTTTTGGTATGGCATGGCATGCAGGAAAAAAATTGTAGGTTAAATCGTGCGCACGATTTACTGTTTCGTTCCCTCGATTTATAAATTGTGCGCACGATTTACTAATTCATTCCCTCGATTTATAAATTGTGCGCATGATTTACTATTTAGTTCCCTCGATTTATAAATTGTGCGCATGATTTACTATTTAGTTCCCTCGATTTATAAATTGTGCGCATGATTTACTATTTCGTTTCCGCGATTTATAAATTGTGCACACGATTTACTAATTCATTCCCTCGATTTGCTAAATCGTGCACACGATTTATTAATCGAGAGAACGAATTAGTAAATTGTGCGCACGATTTAGCAAACTGAGAGAAAGAATTAGCAAATCGAGGGAACGAAATAGTAATTGTGTGCACGTTTTAGTACATCGAGGGAACAAATTAGTAAAATCGTGTGTACGATTTATTTATTTTTTCTTGCATGTCATGTGCGGGGCTCCGTAGTGGAGATAAAAATTTGTATAACATTTCAGGATCAAGCAGAAACCTCTGCCTGGATCAAATGAACGAATGCCAAGTACACACTTATTTCATTCAGCAAATATTGTACAAATGTTATGTCATCTTATTAATATTAATGAGCCTACAACATCCCCTTTCCCCATGTCAGATCATTCCTACGTCCATGCTTTTATCATTTAATGTGATAAAAGGCTGTTTAAGACAGTCTTTAAGACCTCTACAAACACTAAACGTTTAATAATATAATGAAAATTGTGAAATATTAATTGTAATAACTATATTCTATTGTAATATTCCTGTGATGCAAAGCTGAATTTTCAGCAGTCACTACTCCAGTCTTCAGTGTCACATGATCCTTCAGAAATCATTCTAATAAGCTGATTTGCAGCTCAAGAAACATTTCTTACTATTATCAATGTTGAAAACAGTTGTTGCAATTTTCTGGAATCGCAGATGTATTTTTTTTTAGAATTCTTTGTTGAATAGAAAGTTCAAAAGAACAGCATTTATTTGAAATAGAAATCTTTAGTAACATTATAAAGGTCTTTACTGTCACTTTTAATCAATTTAATATGTCCCTGCTGAATAAAAAGATTAATTTCGTAAAAAAAAATGTGTTTGGCCTAGCTTATGTCTGTTATTTAACATGACTGAATCAAACTGCCACTGAACTAGATGATAGATAAGGGTTCATGGCAGTTATACGTACTAGGACACCCAGCCAGTCCAAAACCCAGGGCAGCGGTCTTATTGTCTTGGCAACATCCGTAAACAGTTTTGCTACAGTGCTGGGAGGCGACGAGCTCTGTAGGAGCTGATATGATAGCTAGAGAGAAGATACAGAGCAAACAGGGGTGGGTGGGGGAGAGAGAGAGAGACATATTGAGATCCAGAGCGTTCTTAAGACAAATTAAACTAAACAATCCAAGCTGAAATGCAATTTAGTACAACACAATAAGAATCGCTTAAGGAGCAGAGGTGGGAGAGCCTGCATCTGGCTGCCAGATAACAATTCTATTTACAATTCCTGACACCAATTCAAAATCAGGAAAAAATGATGCTATTACCAGCCATGAAAACAAACAATAGACCTCTCGTCGAATGTCTGGTGGGTGACATTTGACACATTCTCAGGGGCCTGTTTTCTCCATTTGTTCTCGTCTCAGATAGCGCCGTTTACACCTACGCCGCAATGTCAAACAAAGATTTATGGACTCCGGGTTTATGGACGCAAATGCACAAGAGCGCAAATCAGGACGTGCTGATGTCAGTCCACTCTTGCTATAACCTAATTATATTTTTTTAGCGTTCCCCGCTCACATATGGAGGAAGTTTGTTGCGGTGTTTGACTATAATGTTGTGCTGGAGGCAGATGGCAGGTGCCTATTTGTCTTATCTGTACTGTCATTTTTTTCCCAGTCTATCCACACTTGTTCTGTTTGAGCGCTTCTTCTCTAGGCCATTGAACTGAATGGCTGCGAGGCGGCAGGTTTGTGGTTTCGAGTTCGGAGCTAGAAGGACTAGGCTGTCGTAAATCAGGGGGCCGTCGGCGTGAGCGTACACGTCCTGGGGTATAATAGTGATGTGTCACTGTGCCTTTCACAGCATTCTGTGGCTCCAGAAATGGGTTTTGTCCACACCTCATTAAACTTCTCCTCTCTGCACTGAGTCCATTATGACAAAGGTGCTTTTAATTTGATCCTTTCTTCTCGTCTCACTGTGATTCTTCACCATCCTCTTTCTACACTCGTTTGTTCTACAACACAATCCTTTCTGACACCAACAAGGTGCTGCTGCAAGCGAGGCTGATCAGCTTAGATGTTTATTTTTATTGAAGTATCATAGATTATTGGTGATGGTAATGGCATAGATGGGGTGAAGATTGCCTACCAAACTGTGGGAACATCACAATGTCAATATTACAACATTTTTTTACAGAAAATGCAATGTTTGTTTCTCCGTACTAAGTTAAAATGACCACACCACATTATATTGAAAAGAAGACTGAAGAGGAACATCTCAATATTAGGGCCGGATGATATATTGAATATATATCATATGTTTTCATTATTTTGATGCTGATTTAAACCATTTGTTTCAATAAATCATTGTCTCAGAACTGATGAGATAAAAAAATTCTGTAAATATTAAATTACTTTAAACAACTCAATGGTTTGTTACAGTTAACTAAAACTACAACTATTAAAAACCATTTTTGTTAATTGGAAAAAAGCTACATGAAATATAAATATTAGATAAAAAACGTCAAAATAAATTTACACTTAAAACTTGTCTTGGCAACAAATGGAAATAAAATAAGTTTTAAAACTAAAACTAAAATAAAAATAGTAAGATAGATAAATAAAAAATAGATAAGATAAAGGTAAGAAAAATGAGAATTTGAAAATTTTGAGAAATTAGAATGAATGAAAGTGAAAGATTTACTAAAAAAAACTACAATTAAAAGGAAAACAAAAAATATAAAAACTAAAATACTGCTAATTACTAGTAGTACATAAATAATATGAAAATAACACTAGTTGTTTTGAGTCTTCAATCAAAACGTTAAGCGTTATTATGAAATTAAATAATATTATATATCAAATTACGCACATACGTTAAATAGCTGTATCTAAATAAATATTACTAGATTTGACTGTTTTTCATTTTTACATTAAAACATTTTCAAACTAATCAGGCACAAAGGTTCTGTTTGGTAGAAACTGTGGTTATACTGATTTGAAAAAAATAAAGTACATAAATATTGAAATACATATTGAAAACTGCAAAAGAATAAATATTATAAATATTAGTTGTGATCCTGGACCACAAAACCAGTCTTAAGTCACAAGGGTATATTTGTAGCAATAACCAAAAATACATTGTATGGGTCAAAATTATAGATTTTTCTTTTATGCCAAAACACATTAGGATATGAAGTAAAGATCATGTTCCATTAAGATATTTTGTAAATTTCCTACCGTAAATACATCAAAACGTAATTTTTGATTAGTAATACGCATTGCTAAAAACTTAATTTGGACAATTTAAGGGTGATTTTCTCAATATTTTGATTTTTTTGTACCCTCAGAGTCCAGATTTTCAAATAGTTGTATCTCGGGCCAAATATTGTCCTATCCTAACAAACCATACCTCAGTTGAAAGCTTATTTATTCAGCTTTCAGATGATATATAAATCTCAATTTCAAAAAAATGACCCTTATGACTGGTTTTGTGGTCCAGGGTCACAATTTTAGTAGCTTTTTTGCCCAGCCCAGCTCAGAATCTCCTCTGAGCATCACAATCAGCCAACAAATCGCAAGAGGCAGCTTACAGCATCCTCTGATCTTCACTGCAAGGAGACTCGGGTTGCCTAGAGGTCACCAAGACCTAATTTCCAATTAGCAAAAAGCAGCAAGGTGCTCTGGAGGCCCGTCAGCTCTCAAAGGCACGGGTCAGAAACTGGGGGAGGAGAGACTGCAGCGTGCATATCAAATGCAGGGCCCGATGAGATTTCCATTGATCTGAGCTCAGCCAATGGGAAGCAGATGCCAAAAGCTCCTCACACCGGTTGAAAGTTCTCCAAAAGGATTTATTTTCCACGGCCACTGAAGGAGCATGACTGATCTGGCTAGAGGGCCTGTGAGGCTCTGAAGCAGAAAACTCAGAGTTCGAGAAAACCATAGATAAAGGATGAGGGGTGCAGCGAGCGAGCGAGGGAGAGAGAGAAAGAGAGAGAGAGAGAGAGAGAGAGAGAGAGAATAGAGAGTACGATTGTGCGCACGCAAGTGGAGTCAAGCTAGGCTTGAAGCCTGAGGGAATCTCACACTGCTCTGATCACAGAGCCACGCTCTTCCTCTCTCTGTGGTAGATGCTCAGGTCTGGACTACACAAGCCTCCTAAGCTCAAAGAAACACTGCATTCTGCTACAGTGACTCCAACTGCAATCCTGTCAGAGCTCCTGGAGTGTTATTCTTCAGATGACTGAGGAAAACATAAATATTAGAGGAAAGAAAAGGTGCTCTCTTACCTGAGCAGGGACCTTGGCTCTGGAGCAGCAAGTCCATTTGCTTCTCACACCTGGCCTTCTTCAGCTCACACTCACTGGTGTATGTGTTCCCATCAGAGCCGCACACCTGCAAATGTTCACAGAGAGGTTAACCCGGCGCGATTAATGGATTTTACAAGATTTAGCACACGTTTTAACAAGTCAAATGCCCAGTGTTGGGAAGGTTACTTTGGAAATGTAATAGGTTACAGATTACAAGTTACCCTATTTAAAATGTAATAGTAGTGCAACGTTTTCAATTACTTTATTAAAGTAATGTAACTGATTACTTTTGATTACTTTTTGATTACTTTTCTAAATTTCTAATGAATGTTTATTTGCAACTGTTAATCATTTTCAAACATTTACACCATGCAGGGTTAACCTTACAGTACTGCTCAACACTGTCAGACTTTCAAATCCTTCATCATTTGAATTAAGATTATCAAATTTGAACACATCCACCACTAAATCAGACTTTAGTACCGCCTTTTACTTTGAGATTGATCTGAAGTTCAATGCAGATTTAAAATCATAAGAAATAGTTTACTGATACTGTTTTTGAAACCAAATCTTTGCATAACTACAGGAAACACTGCATCTAACAATGGTTTGGAAAAAAAATTGTCAATTAAAAAATAATAATAAATAAAAGCATATACATCAACTCAAATACAGTTATAAGCATGTGTCCTATTCTGTGTACTAAACTCCTGAAACATTGGTGTCTCTTTGTATATGATATGATGATAGTTTTCTCAAAATAAGTCAAATGCTCATGAAGTGACTCAGAGCAGTTCTAGAGATTATGTTTATGTGTTCATGTACTCATATATTGAGGCGGCAGAGGCTGAAGTAAGCCTATGTGTAATAAATGAAACCGCATGTCTGCGCCATTCATTTCCATGAGGGGCAGACTGAGAAAAAAAATTCAGGCCGGGAAATCGCACACTCATACACCCACAACAAATTCTGAAACACGGACAACCCTATTTTTTGTATGGACCTCACATAAAAAAGGTTTAAATCCTTAGGTTGGGGACATGCAAAATAATTAAAGTTCTCTCCTGAACTGCACCTTCACTTACATTTTTCTTTTCAGTCTCTTTATTTTGCCCTGATATCCATCTCTCACATGACTTTAATACTCAAGATTTAACAAAACTAAATTGCCTACATGTCAAAATTAGTACATCACTGCAATATCTTTATAGAAAAATCCTAATACTGAACATAAGTCATGTTTTTCCCTTACAAAAATTAACCATGCTTTTATTATAGTAAAAGTACAGTAAACATGCTTTTTTTTTTTTTGGTAAATGGATTACCAGTTGTATTTATTTTTACTACAAATTCCACAGTTAAACTATGGTTAGTGTAGCAAAAACCATGGTTAATTTGCGGTTACCATGGCTTAACAATAGTAACCATTGTCTTTGGATTTATAGTAAAATCATTGTTAATTTTCGTAAGTGTTGTGTTGTTGTCTGCCCTAGCTCCCCCTAAACCTATTATATTTTTTTATTTTTTGTCTGCTAAATTACTACTGTAACATTACAATAGATAATAATGATGTCCTTTATACAGTATTTTGAGTGATGACTAATGAGCAATGGGCTGCTGCTTAACCAAGTAAACAAAGACAAAACTACAATAGTATATTTACTGATGAAACTGACCTGCAATTGAAACCGAACAGTAGTTTTGCTTCTCTGCTCCATCTGTGCGCTTCCACAGTCCACTCCATTCTCTCTCTCGCATTGATTACTCTGTCCCAAACCATTTGGCGGAGGCGCAGAGAGCGCGCAAGCCGAAGCATTGCCAGTCACTACTAACCGATTCATGGATTCATGATGATTTAATTATCGAATGGCGAGTTCGGAAATAATCGCTTTAGTACATTCGGCAGGCAATTATACAATAATACAATAATAATAGCGGGGCAAATCGGCTGCCAGGCTACCGGTTCTCTCAATGGCCAGTCTGCGTCTGATTTTCACAGACACGCAGAACGTGCAGGATTCATATATTGTCTTTTTGCGGCTTAATATTCACAGACACTAGTCCATATCGCGTTTTGAATAAAGTGTACTGACCTACTTTTGATTTATTCGTCCAAAATGTGGCATATTCCGTCCTATAGACGGTTAGGCTATAGGAATTCAATTTTTATGACTGGATTCTACGAACCAGTCTGTGTTTTCCGCATCGCGGA